TGAGGGTAATTTGTCTCCATTGCAGGCGGCTTTCGACAGACTCGGCTTCACCCACCAACAAAAGGCACATGTGTTCGAGGTGAGACTTTGTGGAAAAGACTGAAAGGCTTTTCTATTGGCTGGGGTATCAGATTACCGTGTTGGCAACGTGAAAATAGTCGAGGGTAGGATAGAAATAGCCCGTGATTTCGGTTTAAAGGGACCGGGAAGTTTGAGGATCGACCCCTGATGACTGGCTGGGTTTAGACAACTGGGTTTCACGAAAAACGACACCTAAACCGGATCTTAAAAAGGCTCACGAGCGCGAAAATCTGCCGCTCAGATATAGCGATAGCGACACGCCGTTCCAAATGACAATTGCATGATTTTAAAGGGACCAGGAAGGGCGAGAATTTACCCCTTATGCCTAGCCAGGCATCGATAGGCACAAATCGCTCAAAATGACGCGTAAAAGAGTCTTAAGAGTAATCCGAAGCGTAACCCTGACCTCGACTGGGTGTCGACAAGTACGCAAGACGCCAAATTCCGCGTGGTCCAGCTTTTAAAGGGACCGTGAAGCGTTAAAATCGACCTTCGGCCACACAAGGTGTAGACAGAAACATACGATATACAAAATAACGTGTGCAGCAATTTTTCAAGGGACACTGAGAGTCGTGGAACCGAATCGGGAGCTGAACTAGATCTGGATGCACCAATGGCGATAAATATACCCTTTTTTAGATCCTTGCCAGCTGCATCTTACTCGGCGAGATCCGATTCGGCGAACGGTCGGGGCTGGATATGAGCTATGTGGAGGGGAGCAAAGGTCTGAACGGCCTGAAGTATTTGACCGTTCGAGAATTCTTCAGAAATCGACGCTGTCGCGGCATTGCTTGGTATCCGGCCATCCCTGGTATCCGATTGCCTGACGCAGCCCACGATAAGGGTCGGCGAGAATACGATCAGGAAGAATCAGAATTTGAAAAAGGTGAGTTCGGTTGTTTTCGTGGCTTATTTATTTCTATTTCGTCGCGTTGCGGCCGCGTCGCGTGCGCGGCAAAATCTATGCCTTTCCCGTCCCTTTAAACTTCCATTTTTCAGACGCTAGCCCTTGTGGCGGCCCTCGCAAAAACGCTCTACGAACGCCTCTTCAACTGGGTGCTCGACAAGTGCAATGCTGCCATTTATAAGGAAGCTGAAGGTTGGTAAAAATTCATAAAATATTAAGGATAGTCTTTAGTAGTTTTAATTCACTTGAATAACTCGTCAAAATCGTTATTTTCAGGTGAAGCCACTTCTGGCACACATCACTCCATCGGTGTGCTTGACATTGCCGGCTTTGAGATTATTCAGGCAAGTCGGGTGGGTTTAGGCTTAGGTCAGGCTTGGCCTAGCCCTAGCTTGGGTTTGGCCTAGGCTAGGCATAGGCTTACCTTAGGCGTAGGCGTAGGCTTAGGCTTGGCCTAGCCCTGGCTGAGGTTTGGCCTAGGCTTCGTTTAGGCTTAATTTGGCTCAAGCTCAGGCTTGGCTTCGGCTTGACTCAGGCTTGGCATATGGCTAGACCTCGGCTTGGCTGCGGCTTAGATTTATGTGTTTTTTTTTGGGAATAAAGGATTTAAAGGAAGCCTGAAAGATATAAATTCAGGTGAACAGCTTCGAGCAGTTGTGCATCAACTACACCAACGAGAAGCTCCAGCAATTCTTCAACCACTTTATGTTTGTTAGGGAACAGACTGAGTATTTGGAGGAGGGCATCAAGTCGGTTTTCCTAGGGGTTACCGATTACCCCATGAATTTAGATGGTCGCAGACGGATTACGCCTTTGACTTGCAGCCGACAATTGATATCTTTGAGCGGGTGAGCTGGCAGAGTTCTTTGGGAATTGTCTAGGCGCTGGCAGGCTAGCAGAGATTTTTTGGGAATTCCCCTGAACTCGGCAGACTAGCAGGGAATTTTTAAAAATCGATTTGGTGTGGCTGGCAGGCTAGCAGGGATTCTTGAGAAATTAAGATGGGGCTGGCAACCTAGCCGAGGTTTTTTTGGGAAATAGAACGAGCACGGCAAGCTAGCAGAGATTCTTGGGGATGCTCCCGGAGCTCGGCAGGCTAGCAGCGATCATTTCGGAACTACCTGCGTTTTGGGCAAGCTAGCAGAGACAATTTCGGAATAGAATGAGGCAAGCTAGCAAAGATTCCTTGGGAATTACCAACATTTTGGTAAGGTATTATAGATTTTTTGGTATTTCCTCTGAACGCGGCAAGCTAGCAGAAACCATTTGGGGAAATTTCGCCTGGCATGCTAGCAAAGATCCTTTAGGAATCCTGTTTCTTTCCAGCCCCTCGGCCTCTTCACCCTGCTCGAAGAAGAATGCGTGGTGCCGAACGGCTCCGAGCCGGCGCTGCTGGAGAAGTGGGCGGAGAACTTCAAGGAGGCCGACCAGTTTTCGAAGGCGAAACCCTCGCAAAAGTTGCTTTTAATAAGTTTTCATAATGTTTTAAATTCAGTTTAACACTACACTGTTATTCTTTCGGTAAATTTTCGCTTGAAAACAGCTAAAAACAATTTAATAGCGTAATTTTCAGGACAAACTCGCTGAGCCACTTCACCATCAAGCACTACGCCGGCATTGTGAGTTCAAAAAATCATTTTTGAAGTTTTTTAAGTTTTTAATTTTAGAATTTACGAATAAACCTTATTTCTATTTTTATAAATATCTCAGGTCGACTACAACATTGACGGCTGGTTGGAGAAGGACAGGGACGCCGTCGAGTTTTCGATTCTGGAGACGATGAGCCACAGCCAGCATCGACTTATCGCCGACTTGTTCCCGCATGGTTAGACTACTTTCTAAAAACTAAAAAACTGAATTTTAGTTGATGTAGATGCTCAAAAGCCGAAGAAAGGCGGTCTCGCCACGGCCACCGTCACTTTTGTGTATCGCGTGGGTTTTTGAGGTTTTAAAGGGGTGGTGACGGACTGGGCGGGTCGTCGAGTAAGGGCGACTAGCTAGCAGAGACGGTTCAGGAATAAATAAGCCAGTTTTCAGAACCAACTATGCTCCCTTCTGGATGCCCTCAACCAAACATCAGCCCATTTCATCCGTTGTTTGCTGCCGAACCGCGAGAAGCAGCCCGGGAAGCTGAATGCCCCACTGGTGCTTCATCAATTACGGTAGGAAATTGGTGTTGAATAGGACAATGCTAAAGGGACAAGCTGAGGCATAGGCTTAGGCTTGGCGTATGTTAGGGCTTCTGTTCGGGCTTTGCTTGGCCTCGGTTTGGCTTTCCGGCCTTGCTTAGGCTTGACAAGGTTAGCTGACAATAGGCTTCTGCTTGTCCTCAGCTTGGCAGTGGCTTAGGTTTTAGCTTCGGCTTAGCGATGGCTGGGCTTGGTTGGGATTCGCTTGACTTAGGCTTGGCTTAGGCTTTCCTTGGGGTTTTCTTAGGTTTGGCCTAGGATGGCTTGGGCTAGGCTTAGGTTTGACCTAGGCCGAAGCTTAGGGGTGCGCAGGTCTAAGCGACTCAAGCTAAGCTTGGCTTGGCCTTGACTTCGCATTAATCTATCCCACGTATCCGTCGATTTTCAGCTGTAACGGAGTGCTGGAGGGCATCCGCATCTGCCGTCAGGGCTATCCGAATCGACTGCCGTTCGATCAGTTTGTCGAGAGATACGGTAGGCTTTTGGATCAGGAACTTTAGCATCAACTCCTAGGGTTGGTCGTCGGCAAGGAATGGTCTTCGCGGAATCGGGCTGCAGCCAGGGAGCTCTGCGATTTGCTGAAAATCGAGGAATCCCGGGTGCAGATCGGGAACACGAGGGTTTTCTGCAAAGTTGGAGTCATTTCGGAGGTGAGAGAGAGAGAGAGAGAGAGAGAGAGAGCGAGAAGGAGGGTGAGAGAAAGAGAGCTTTTCCAGTTGGAAGAGCGGCGTCGCGAGAAACTGACGGCAATGATGACGTGCGTGCAGACGGAGATCCGCACTTTCCTCGCTGTTCAAGACTACAAAATACGAGTCAAGAAATGGTAATTGGGCCCTGTACTTTCAATAATTTCTGAAATTTTAGCTTGGCGGTCGACATCATCCAGTGGAACGTGAGGGCGTTCAATCGTGTAGCCCAGTGGCCATGGCACCGGCTGTTGACGCTCGTGCGTTTTAAAGGGATTGGGAAGTCAGAAATCTGCGTGAGAGAGGGCGAGAGAGACAGAGGGCGAAAGCGAAAATAAGGATGTCAAGCGAAAGAGAGAGAGAGAGAGAGAGAGAGAGAGAGAGAGGAAAGAGAGAGAGGAGAGAGAGAAACAGAGAGAGAGGGTGAGAGAGAGGAGAAGCGAGAGGGCGAGAGAGAGAAAGAGAGAAGGGAGAGAAAGAGAGAGAGAGAGGGAAAGAGATAACTAGAGAGAGAGAGAGAGAGAGAGAGAGAGAGAGAGAGAGAGAGTAGGAGACAGAGAGAGGAGCGAGGACGAGAGAACTCGATCACAAGAAAAATACTATATTGACCAGTTTTCAAGGACTTTTGAAGTTTTCTAAACCTTATATATATTTTCCCCACCCTTCAGGTCCATCCCCTGATCCCGAAAGAACGCGAAAAAGAGCGAATCCTGGAGCTGGAACGCCGTTTGCGCGAGTTGGAAGAGGAGAGGGCCCGGATGATGGGCGACAACAAGGAGCTGTGTACGGTAGGGGTGTAAATAGGCGCCCAGGGGAAACAATCGATTTGTAGACGATCCAGAGTCTAAAAGACAACGCTCGACTTGATGGGAAAAAGGCCGAGGAGGCGAAGGAAAGGGTGGAAAAGGTGGGTGGGTTGGGATTGGGGCTTGGGCTTGAGGTCGCCATATTTTCCAAGCGTCGACTTTTTACCTTATTATTTTTGGAAGTGCCAACCCGGTAGTATTTTGTGTCTTTAAACCTAGATTTACCATTATTTTTGAAGTTTTTTATTATTTTTTGAACATAGAAAATCAATAGTTGGAATTGAATAGTTATTAGAGAAAAAAGCTATAAAAGCTAACCGTGGGCGAACAGATGCTGGAGGAGAAGATGCGCGAACTGCACGAGGTGCGCAGCGAGATGCACGGCAATGAGGAGATCTTCGACCTGCTCGAGGGGAAATATCAGCAACAGCAGAAGAGGATCGCAGTGAGAACATGCATTTTTGCACTTTCTAATGAGTTATGGTAGCGAATTTTTGGTTTTAAAGGGTCTGGCAAGGCATGGTACCGGATTCTGTTTGGTATGGATGACCTTTGAGAAAATATGGGATAGTTAGCAGAGACCATTGAGGAGGGCTAGCAGAGACCATTGAGGAGGGCTAGCAGAGACCATTGAGGAGGGCTAGCAGAGACCATTGAGGAGGGCTAGCAGAGACCATTGAGGAGGGCTAGCAGAGACCATTGAGGAGAGCTGCAGAGACTATTGAGGAGGGCTAGCAGAGACCATTGAGGAGAGCTAGCAGAGACCGTTGAGGAGGGCTAGCAGAGACCATTGGGGAGGACCATAAAGTTCCATAAAAACTATTTTTTTAGGGAATGAGCGAAAGCTTGCGGGAGTACGAGCGAAAATTCGAAAAGCTCGATTATGAGCGCAAGGAGAGGGAGCGAGAGCTGCAAAAGGTGAGAGGAATTGGCTGTACTTTCTACCCTGTACTTTAGGCGAAAGAGCACCTGGAGCGCGAGAGAAGTGAGACTGAGCGGATCCAGAAGGAGCTGATGGAGGCCCAGATGAGTCTGAAGGAGCTGGAGGGAAGGACGGAGAACGTCTTGAAGGAAGAGAGGAGACTTGTTGAAGCTGTTGCTCGGTACGGCCTGAGGATCAGGGTTTTTTAAGGACCATTTTCGACTCACCACAATTTAATTCCAATTTTATCACCCCACCTTTAGCCTCGAAAACGCACGTGATGAGCACATGGCCCGAGCGCGAAAACAGAGCGACCTCGTCGCCGAGCTTCAGGAGACGATCTCCGATCTGACGGTAAGAGCTGGGGCTCCACAAGCTGTTACTCTCACCCTATAGGAGCGTCTCACCAAAGCCGATTCCAACGTTGGCGAGGAGCGCAACCAACGGCGCAAGGCGGAGCGGGAGCTCGAGAAGGTCAAGGACGAGCTCGGCACGTTCAAGGCGGAGGCGGAGAAGATGCTGGAGAAATATGATTCGATGGTGGGCAGAAATTTTTGCTTTTTTGCAAAAAAAAAAATTTTAAATGCGACGGAAGGATTGATAGAAAAAAATCGATGATTTCAGAAAGACGTCGCACGTGATAAGGATAATCTCATCAAAAAGCTGGAGAAGAAGCTGGCGGATAAGGTATATTTTTTACGGTCCCACTCGCTTAAAAACCGTAGAAAATCATGAAATTATCGCTCCAATTCCGCAATGGTCGTTGCTAGCTTGCCTGGTCTGTCAAGACCCCCTTAACGCATTGAAAACATATAAATTTTAAGCCAAAATCCGATTCCCCAAGGTTCTTCGCTGGCTTGCCTCGCCTGTCACGCCTTCTTTAAATCCGCCACGTACAAAAAACCAAGACTCCTAATTCATAAGAATCTTTGCTCGTTTGCTAGGCCGGACATGCTCCGTTTCATGCTCAAAAGATCTAAAAATCCCGGCTCCTATTCCATCAAAAAATATGTTCTAGCCGGGACTGTCACACGCCCTTTAATGCGCAAAACAGTGAAAAATTGCCAGTCGGGTTCTTCAAGAACCTCTGCTAGGTTGTCGAGTGCTGTCACACTCCCTTTAATTGGAACGTCGAAAAATTCGGGTTCCAAAATAATCTCTGCTGATTTCCCCAGTCCTTCCACGCTCCCTTTAATGCGTAGAACATGGGCAAACCGTGGATCCAATTCCCAAGAGGTCGCTGCTAGCCTGCCTGCCTTTCTGCGCCCATTAATGCAAAAACCAGTCACCCTTCCAGGAATCGCTAATGGAGGAATGCATGAAAGATTTGCGCGAATCACACAAGCACCGTGTGGATGAGCTGAAGGACGAGTTGGACGAGTTGAGGAGGAAGAATAGCAGGTGGGTGAGGAAATAGAGCGAAAAAATAGACAAAACAGACAGTTTCATCTTCTATACAAACAAATAAAAGGGTTTTAGAACGTATTTTTAGGCTGGAGACGGACAACATCACGCACAAGTCGAGGGTCGACAGGAGCGACTCGAACTTTGGCCTCAATTATATGGGAAGGAGCCTGGAGAGGGAGAGCAGCCTCGACTCGGATTACGGTAGGCGGAAAATCTTGGCGGGATTTCCGGTGGGAAAGGAAGATGTTTGGGGTATGCAAAGGTTGCTTAAAGGGATCAGCAAGGCTTGGTTGTTGTCTATATATTTTATCCCTAACGATTCCAAACCTGTTCTGCGGCAAACACGATACGCGCGATCCCGTTTTATTGCGTAATTGATTAGCAGAGATAGCTAGCAGAGACCATTGAGGAGGGCTAGCAGAGACCATTGAGGAGGGCTAGCAGAGACCATTGAGGAGGGCTAGCAGAGACCATTGAGGAGGGCTAGCAGAGACCATTGGGGAGGGCTAGCAGTGATCATTGGGGAGGGCTAGCAGTGATCATTGGGGAGGGCTAGCAGTGATCATTGGGGAGGGCTAGCAGTGATCATTGGGGAGGGCTAGCAAAGACCATTGGGGAAGGCTTTATTCCAAGTATTCCCGATTTCAGGTCGATTGAGCAGCGGTCGACACAGTATGGATCGCTCGCTGACTCGTCAATATTCCATCACTTCCGTGCCGTCATTCTCCACGATGCGCCATCTTTGCCGAAGGAGGTATTTTGTAGCTGGTCAAATGCTTGATTACCTTACAAACTTACCCCATCCGCTGTAGTTACCGTATCCCCCATTGCAGACAAACCGAACCGGACATTATGGAGGGTCTCTCCCGTGTCCCCTCCTCGACCTCCCTCTCCGAGCACCAGCGCAAGATCCAGGAGCTCGAGCGCCATCTTCAGGACGCCAAGACCGAAGTGAATCTGAAGAACCGCGAGCTGGACGTGTACAAGAGTTCGTTGCATGCTGTGGAGCAGGTGGGGGAGGGCGCGGGGTGCCTGAATTTTTGCTGGATTTAGGAGCGCGACTCGTTCAACATTCAGCTGAAGGCGGCGCAGGGAGAATTGGAACGTTTGCATCGTGAGAACCGTACTTTGACGCGTGCGAATCAGGTATGGAGAGAGAGAAGGAGAGAGAGCGAGAGAGAGCGAGAGAGAGAGAGAGGAAGGGAGAAAGCGCGACAGAGAATGAGAGTGAGCCGGACTGAAAGCGCGAGAGAGAGAGAGCGAGCCAGAGAGAGAGGGCAAGAGAGAGAGAGAGAGAGCAATTTTCAGAATCTCGAGCTCCGTCTAAAAGCTGCCACAGATGATGGTGATCACTGGAAGCACAGAATGGAGGAGACGATCGCTGAAATGGCCTCCGCCATCGAGACGGAGCGGAACAAGACGATCCACGAGTTCGAGGAGACGCAGCATGAGAAGGATCTGAAGCATCATCGACTGGTTGCCCTCGAGAGGTTGGTCAAAAAGCAAAAGTTTTTGCACCAGGCGGGAACGAACCCGGGTGTTTATATCCTGGAAAACTAGAGCACTACCAAGAGACTACGGAACAAGACTTCACAGAAACATATTTTCCTATCTTTCAAGCAAAAGCAAAGGTCCAATCCCGGCGGGGATCGAACCCGGATACTTATCCTGGTATCCAAGCACCCTACCATTTCGCCATCCCGGTTTCGAAGTACAAATTTAGTTTTTTCACTTGTAACTTCAAAAATCGAATTTCCAGGAGTAAGGACGAGCTCACGAATCAACTAACCGACACCCAGGTCGAGCTCGACAGGGCTCTGGCTCGAGTCCTCGAGCTGCAGACGGCTTTTGATACACAGGTCCGGACTACCGAGCTTTTTGTAATTTTGATTTAGGAGACTGTGGGCAAAAACTGGGAGCACGAGTATCGACAGGTGATGCACGAGTTGGAGGGGTTGAGAGATGAGAACGGGGCGTTGAAGAGCAAGATAAGGAGGCAGTACAAGCAGATCGAGATTCTTACAAGTAGGTTTGGCTTGGCTCGGCTTAAGCTTAGGCATAGGCTTAGGCTTAAGCTTAAGCTTAGGAAAATTCGAAAGAGGGATCGATTTCCTAACCCCCGGCCAAAAAGCAATTAATTGCCACCGGCGGAATCGAACTTGTCTCGTTCTCCTGGCAGCCGAACGTGCTACCATCCGGCTATCAGCTAATTTTCTTATAAAAATGATTTCCGGTCTCTGGCTCAAAAAACAAAAAATTGCCACCGGCGGGATCGAACCCTGGTCGTGTGCCTGGCAGCCTAGCGCACTACCATTTAGCCATGAGTCGATCGTCGGTTTTTCTGGGAAAAATCACCATATTCCCCTTCCCAGCTCGGTTAAAATTCAAAAGTACGTTTTCAGGGCAAGACGACAGCGAGCTGGCCCTCACCTCGATGCAGGAAAAGGTGGACAAACTGAACGGCCGGATGGAGGATTGAAATGGAACCAATTTTTCTTTGATTTTCTGATGTCTTTTCCAAAATTGTTTGTGCTGAATTCTCTGCTGTTTTTGTAGTTTTTGTCCTTAAATTTTCCCACAAAAAAATCAAAAACTTAAAATCGAAAACCCCACGAAAAACCGGTGACTCTCCCCCGTTAAATGAAATCTGGTCGTGTCTGTACAAAGGAACGTCATGGAATTTTTTGAATAAATTAGTGTAGCTTTATTTTGCAATTGAAATACAGTATGACAAAGAGAAAACACACAAAAGCAGCAAAACATTTATCAAAAGTACAGTAGTAATCTTGGTGTTTCCAAGGTATGCAAATTTCTAGCCGTTTTTCCGGCTTTTAAGCTTGAAAATTAGCATATTACCCTGGAATCCACCGTTTAAAGGGAGGGTGACAGGGCCTGAGAAATCGGCGTCAAAATATTACCCTATCACGTCCCTTTAAAATCCAAAAAAGGCACCAGGCGATCATCGGAAAGTTGCGTAGTCGAGGCGGGGGATGGGGGAGGCAGAATAGTTTTTTTAAATTTTTTAACGCTTGAGTTCAGGGTTATTAGGTTCCGGTGTCAATAGGTGCGTTGCGGAACGGAGAAGGTGCGAAATACACCTATCGGCAGCAAGGAATTCTTGAATTTTGTCGTTTCCGGCTGGAAGCTTAAGCATAAGCATAAGCCTAAGCCTAGGTTTAAGCCGAAGCCAAAGCCTAAGCCTGAGCCTAAACCTAATCTAAGCCTAGACCTAAATTTAAAAACCTATCTTCTGTACGAAATACCCCTATTAACATTGCCTCAAAACTCGCAAAAAATATTCCGCGCCCCCATTAGTGCGAGGTCAAGCGACGGGGCACCCGATATGGAAGATTTTCAAGTGAGAGAAATTGGGTCATGTTATAGTGGTGAAAGCTTGAAAGTTGTGGGATTGAATTGAGGTAGCCGCAGAAAGGTATACACTTATATTGAGCATTAATGGATAGGGACTGTTGTGCTTCATACAGTAGTCTCCGACTCTTTCCCGGGGTCGTTCATGAACAGGTTCAACCGAACTTCTGCATCCCGGGCATAGGTTGAGGCGGTAGATGAGGCATGGGCCATGTAGTCGTTGTCGAGAAGGGTGGAAGAGCCTACGGAACGATCCACCTGGAAAGGCGTACGGTAGAATTTAGGTAGCAAAAATTTTGGACCATTTTCGGAGCGGTTTTCTAACGGATAGCGAGAGAGACGTAAAGAGAGAGAGAGAGCGAGAGAAAGAGCGAGAGAACGAGAGAGAGAGAGCGAGAGAGAGAGTGAGTGTGTGGGAGAGACACAGAGAGAGAGAGAGAGAGAGAGAGAGAGAGATGTGGCAGATACGGAGAGAGAGAGAGAGAGAGAGAGAGAGGGGAGAGAGATAGAGAGAGAGGGATTTTGCTTAACTAATAAATTTTTTCATTACTCGTCCCTTGAAAAACTTTCTTTGCTCTTTTCTCTCTCTCTCTCTCTCTCTCTCTCTCTCTCTCTCTCTCTCTCTCTCTCTCTCTCTCCATCACTTAACGTTTTACACCAGACCTTAAACCCAAGATTTCCCCCGAAAACAAGTCACCCTCTTGACAAGCTACCTCAAAAAAACCCCCCAAGCCCTGACGCCCGATGGCCCACCGAATAAACATTAGTGCACCGATTGTTTTTGCGTGTTGTCATTCTTTCGGGGGTTGTTGAAACTTCCGGGTATCACCTCGAGGTAATGCACTTTCAAGGGCCGGCCTGACGCCTGGTAGCTTTCACACTGATGATTGGGGGGTTTGGGGCACTAATGCCAGGTGATCGAAACAGGGGAGACGTGCCAAAAATAACAACAACATGCCCTTGGGCTGGGTGTTCGTTCGAGTCGAACGGAGCTTGGTAGATTCCCAAAAAATTGGTGCTAGCCTGCCTGGGACGGGATAAGCAAAAATGTTAAGAAGAAGATGGAGCAGTACGGAGGGTGAGACAGCGAGAGAGAGCGAGAGAGAGAGAGAGAGAGAGAGAGAGAGAGAGAGAGAGATGAGAGAGAGTTAGCGAGATAGAGAGAATCCCTGCTGAAAAAACCTTCTAGAACAACCCTGAAAAGTTCCAGCTTGCTAAGAATCCTCAAACATCTCTGCCAGAAGCCCCATTCCTCAAGGATCACTGCTATATTGCTCTTTTCAGCAAATTCTCCCCCCCCCCCCCAATTTCCTTTGCTGGTCTGCCACAGAACTTTATTATTTCTATTTTGTTTTTTTCTATAAAAGCGAGATCCTGCAGGGTCACTGCTAGCTCTCTCTCGCTATTTCTCTCTCTCTCCCTCTCTTTCCCTCCCCCTCTCCCTCTCTGTCTCTCGCACCAACCTCATCCGGTATAACACTCAACAGCCGTCGATGTGCTGGTTGTGTCTTTGTGGTTGATGTGGAAATGGATGATTCTGGTCGATGAAACAGTTCGGAGGCAGTTCCCTGATGGCCGTCCCTTACTGCTGCCAGGTTTGTCACGGACCTATAATTGATGGGAGGGCATTGTTGTCATACGTAGTCGCTAGGTTATCTGTTTTTCTTTTGGGCTTTTCGGTTGATACGCGGGGATCAGGGCGGGAAAAACAACGAACCTCCGGGTTTGTCCCTCGCCGAACGTGTTGATTTGGATGGTGGACGGGGAACGTGAGGTCTCATCAAGGCTGGGGGGCTGAAAAAATGTTTTAAAACCAGATGGTTACAGTCGCTTCGCGACTGCAACCATCTGGCCTTCGGGCTACCCTACATGTCTCACTCCACCACATCCTTTCCCACCTCCATCAATACCCCCGATAGCCGAAATCCCGTTCAAAAACTACCTAAATACCTTCCCGATGGCTTAAGATACCTCCCCTAGCCGAAATCCCCTTCAAAAACCACCTAAATACCTTCCCGATGGCTTAAGATACCTCCCCTAGCCGAAATCCCCTTCAAAAAGCACCTAAATACCTTCCCGATGGCTTAAGATACCTCCCCTAGCCGAAATCCCCTTAAAAAACAAAAATAACGACCGACCGGATGGAATGAGAGAAAAAAATAAGTTAAATCCCCCGTGAAAATTTTCATCCACGAAACGCGCGCCACCTGGCTCACTATGTCCAAAATCACCCCAACCTCCGTCCCCCACCCCTGTTACTAAGGAAAAACTTTCAAAGTTAATTTTAATAATTTAAATTAAAACTTTTTCATAATTTTTTTATCAGTTTGGGGGTTTCTGACCACGCTCTATCCGAATCCGAAGAGAGCTAAGCTCTAGCTCTTTTCCCCTTCGAGTTGAATTCGGCTTCACACGGACACCACAGCAAAATTATTATAGTTGATTAGCTTCCAAGTGCCTTTAAAGTATATTACGGTATGAGGCTCTTAAGAGTGCCTAGACTACAACATACAACAAATGACGCTACGGATTCCGTTAAAACATAAGCGTTAAAAGATTCCTATAAATTTGGCTAAATTTTGCAAAGGTTTTTGGCTTCGCAGTCCCATTAAACGTGCTTACTGTATAAAACTCTACTAAAAAAACTAGATTACAAACTGCAACTACAAACTACAACAGGATACGGTAGTGATTCCGCTAAAATCTTGGCCCTTATCAAGCGGTTGGCCAGATTCCTCGCCTCTAATTAAAATCGATTACGGTAGCCTACCTCGTCAAAAAAAAAGCTAGACTACAAACTACAACCAACTACGGTAGCTAACGCGCGTAAAAAAATCACGCATACCTTTGGCGGGGTGGGGGGTGGACGCGTAGTCGGTAGGGGTGGTTGGCTCCTGCAAAGAATTCGTTATTACAGGCGAGTATCACAACGTAGTCGAAAGCTACAGTAACCCGGCTACACATTCTACAAAGGCCGAAATGCAACAGCCGAGCCACAGTATCCGGCTACCGTAATAAAAAAGCAAAAATAATAAATAGTAAAAAATAAAATAAATAGGACACGAACCTATCCAACCCGATGGTTGTCGTGTGCCCAATGGCCGCATAGCCCTTCTGCGGAGAACGTAACGATATGCCAATGTCCCGAATCGACAGCGAGGCGCCCGACTGGAATTTGTTGATCAAGAAAATGTCAAGGTTCAGGCCAAATACTCCGGACAGCCTGCCTGAGCTTTTTTTGGTGCTGGTTCATTAACGGGGGGGGGTTGGGCCCAAAAAGAACCCCCCCCCTAATGAAAGTGAACCCATTCTCAAAATTTCGAAAAATGCGTCAGAATCGTGTCAAACGTTCAATTTTAAGTTGTAAAATTTCCGTTTTTAGGAAATTTCGAAATTATCATATTTCGACGCGATGCCATTTATAAAATTACCAGCTGCCACATTCTGATCAAAAATTGTGTACCGTATCCCTAGCCGTGCTCGTCTGCGCATCGAACGTCGACTTCTTGGCGGCGTCGGCGGCTTCGCGCATCTGCCTCCGCCGCCTCAGCTCTTCGATCGTCTTCTCCTCGCGCTCGATGCGCTCCCGGATCGAGAGCAGCTCCTGGAGATTTGGATACTGCTTTACATATAGTGCTTGAATGCACTGGTAACTTTAATTTTCCTCCAAAAGTTGAATTTTTGTGCAATTTGAATCCGGAAATGCTCCCGAAATTGAATGGGTTCCCAATTGAAAAGAAAATTTGGGTTGGTGGTTCTATTTACTTCTTCCGAGTACAACTTGACAGGTGGGTTCAGGCTTGGGCTTGGCTAGGCTTAGGCTTAGGCTTCGGCATGCGGGTTCGATCCCAAGCCGCAGCTTTCTTTTTGCTTTTTGCCCCAAAGGCGACTTCGGATAGGCCAGGCTGGGCTTAGCGGCTTAGCTTTAGGTTGCGACTTGGGGTTTAGGATTGGCGTTAGTCTTAGCTTAGGCGTAGGCTTGGCTTAGGCTTAGACTTGGACTTAGGCTTTCTTAAGCTCAGGCTTGCTTAGGCTTAGGCTTCGACTTTGGCTTCGACTTCGGTTTAGGCTTAGGCTTAGGGATGGGCTTAAGCTTAGGCTTAGGCTTAAGCTTTTTTAGGCTTTTTAGGCTTACGCTTAGCCTAAAAACTGAGCTTGTTCTCGTACCCAAAAGCAAAGTTCCCATTGCAGATGTCTCTCCTGCGCGTGCTGAGCGTGTGCCTGTGCGTGGCGATGGCCGTTCTGGCCCAAGACCCAGCAGCACCCACCCCTCCCCCATCGCCCGTGCCCGGTCCGCCGGCGCCCAACCCCCCGGGGCCCAACCCGAACCCCACCACCAAGGACCCCAACCGCAAGAATCCCGATCGTGATCTGCAGCTCGAGGTGCTCGCCGACAAGGAGCACATCCCCTTCCCCACCTTCATCAACCAGCGCTACGGTATTATAGGCTTAATGGGTATTTTATCACACTGGCTGAGGGTCAGGGGGTACTGGACTGTTAGTGGGGGGGAGGCAGGATTTTCTCTCCCATTTTCAACCCTGGTTTAAAAATGTGCCTCTTTTCACTTTTTGGCGCGTTTTGGTCGCTTTTTTGGACCTTTTCCATTATCGGGGGGGGTCAAGGAATTTTGTTAGTTAGTTTTGCTAGTTTTCGCCAAATTGGTTGTCTTAAAATTGAATCGAAATGTCATATTTCGTAATCCACGTTAAAATTGATACTTTTGACGTTTTGGGGTCGCAAAAACGCTAGTCACCCCCCCCCCCGCTAACAGTCTAGTACCGAGATAGGCAGGCTAGCCGAGATCCTTTGTAAAGACTCGATGCTATGTTCACCAACGTTTCAGCGATGGTGCTGAAGCCGATCGTGCTGGAGCACGTGCTCCAGGGCCCCTCGTTCAAGACGCTCGTCGACCACTTTATGGCCAACACTGACGAGGTGCGGCTCATGCTCACTTTATTTGAAGGTCATCTTTCTTTAGAACAGCCCGCTGTTCGAGGAGCGCAAGGGCCACATCCGCGACGCCCTCGACCACACCTTCGACATGCTCATCAAGCAGTATTCGCATCTGAAGGCTGATGTGGGGTTTGGCTTGGGCTTGGGCATGGACATAGGCTTAAGCTTAGCCGGGATCCGGCCTTGAGCGTCGGTTCAAGCTTGTGCTTCTGAACTCCTTCAACATGACGGCCCCAATTGCAGACTGATCTGGCCAAGCCCGTCAATGTCCCGCCCACCAAGGAGACCACCCGCAAGCGCCGCGACCCGCGCGCCGCCGCCGTCGCCGCGCTGTTCAGCGACGAGTTCCTGGGGCAGCTCGTCGACGGGACCGCCCTGCGCCTCGTCGTCGAGGAGAAGGAGCGCCAGAAGCGCTCGGAGGTGTGTGGAATCTTTTTTTGTCGCAAAAACTGGCCAATGCAGGCGTGGCTGATTGGTAGTGTGCTAAGTTGTTAGGCTGACCACCCGGGTTCGACCCCCGCCCGTGGCAAATTTTTTTCTTTTTGGTAAATCCTGCATTTCAGGCGTTCCTCGCCAGCCTGGTGAAGCAGCGCCTCCACGACGAGCATCAGGTGCGTCTCTGATCATCTTCTTCTGGGCGGGCGGGCGGTCGACGTCAGACTCGAGGGCTCCAGATGACCATATCATCCCCCCCCTCACTCCCCCTCCCCCCTTTGCGAGCCCACTTTTCGCATAAAGTTTTTTGCCCCCGGCACAGAGACCTTGTCACAAATCCTGAAAGTACGCTAGGCTACGTCAAGCCACGCTACAAACAGGCAGTATAGTACGCAACGCTACAATACGATACACACCGCTACGTTACTATACGCTGTCGTACACTACACTACAATCCGATACAGCACGATACGCTACAGTATGCTGCGGTATAGCGCTAGCCTAGGGTTAGCCTAGAGCTACGTCACAAAACGCTGCTTGCGTCAGCCGATGATAAGTCCTTTGGGGTTCGCGTAGATACTGGCAATTTTTCAGCCGGCTCATCCCCACCCAGAAGATGCTGAAGAGCGACGCGCGGCCGATGAGCCGAGGAAGCGTGTGAAGCGAGGGGTTACTGTAAGCCGCTGGTGCTAGCTGTAAAACTTTGTCGTCCAGGAGGAGGCGATGGAGGCGTTGCCCGTGGTGCTCGACATGGTGGAGCCGATGCCGTTCAAGGCAAGCTAGCAGAGACCATTGAGGAGGGCTAGCAGAGACATTGGGGAGGGCTAGCAGAGACCATTGAGGGGGCTAGCAGAGACCATTGAGGAGGGCTAGCAGAGACCATTGAGGAGGGCTAGCAGGACCATTGAGGAGGGCTAGCAGAGATCATTGAGGAGGGCTAGCTGGACCATTGGGAGGGCTAGAGAGACCATTGGGGGGCTAGCAGAGCCATGGTTTTAGGTTTTCCTGGGTTGTTTCTTTTGGTCGTTTTTTTTTTTGCGGAGACCATTGAGGGGGCTAGCAGAGACCATTGAGGGGGCTAGCAGGTCATTGAGGAGGGCTAGAGAGACCATTGAGGAGGGCTAGCAAAGACCATCGAGGAGGGCTAGCAGAGATTATTGAGGAGGGCTACCGAAATCCCTCCCGGGAATCTTGCCTTTTCAGATCATCCGCTCAATCATCGAGGAGAACCGCCGCCTAAAACGCGACAGCACCATGGAAGACAAGGCCAAAGCCTCGTTGAGGGTATACCTTGCTGTCACTCTCCCTTTAAACGACCACAGGTCCTCCGCAAAGCGTTCGTCGACCCGATTCTCGAGCCAATCGAATATGTCGGCCGCCACCTTGGGATGAACATTGGTGGAGATGATCACGTCGAGGCCAAGGAGGAGAAGCTGACGGCCGAACCGGTGGACATCGTTCGGCCCGCGCGCTCCCTGCCCAATCCCGTCATTCAGGAGGAGGAGATTGACCCGGTAAGGTGGTTTAGATTCAGGGTTAGGCTTAGGCTTGGCTTAGACTTAAGCTTCGGCTTGCGCTTATGTATTCACATGTACGCATTTTTTGCAGGTCCACATCCCCGAGCAGCCAATGACCAAGGAAGAGCGAGCCGATCAGCAGGACGTCATGGATGCCTATGCGGTGAGGGGCTGGCTAGCAGAGACCATTTCGGGAATCGTAAAAATCTGGTTAAACCTTGACTTTAGCGCTACATCTCGTGGAACCCGAGCGGCTGGAAGGCCGACGCCGACCCGAAAACGCGCAAGCGCCGTAGCGCCGACGGCTTCAAGGTGACGGTGAGCGTGGGGAGGAGTGTAGCGTAGTGTTCAGAGAAGCGTCGCACAAGAGAGGCGGTCCCTAGCGTACTGAGGAGGAGTGTAGCGTACGGCATTGTACAGCGTAGCCTAGCGTACCGTGACGCGCAGCGTAACGTAGCGTACATTTGAGTCGTGGCTTAGCGCACGGTCTCGTAGCGAACGTAGGAGTGCAGCATAAAGTGGCGTAAAGCCCAATGCAGTGTAAGGAGGGGTGTAGTGTAGCTCGCGCACGACTCCATACCGCACGCTTGGCTACGGTGCGTACTATTGTATCGTACCGTGGAATACGGTGCTGTAACCAGTAGTGTAGCGTAGCGTGCAGAGTGCCATCACGCACACTTCATCTAGGGTGCCCTGGCCTTCATCAACAAGCAGTCCAGCGACCAGCCCGAGGACCAGAAGCCCATCCGCTCCGCCTCATCCATCGCGGTAAATTTTCCCCAAAAATCACTTCTACCTACCCACCATCGATTCCAGGATGCCATCGCTCGCCTGCTGCACTAATCCGCCGTATTCCGCCCGAGAACCCGAACGATTTCTCCCACCACCGTATACTGGAGCGCCACGGAATCCCCCATATTTCCCCCGGTTTTGATGTATTTTTGGGCGACCGTGCGAATAAAAGTGTTTTTGGGGTGAAATACTGTGATATGAAGTCAATACCGTATCCCAAAAAGTTTTTTTGGGATGCGCCGTACCCCATAGGTCGTAATTTGTAGCCTGCCGGACTCATAAAAGTGCACAAAAAGTGCTTTGAACTCTACCGTACCCCAGACAGTGTAATTTGTAGCCTCGCGTACCTGTGAGGTAGAATTCCGCGGCGCCACGTCATCGATTACGGTGGTCCTGGGCGTCGGAATCGACTGTGCCGACCCGGATACAGAAGGCATCGTCGGCAACAATGCTATAACGAAATTTGCCCCATCTACCGTAACCCTGCCCCACCTCTCCTAACCGGATCATCGCCGATCGTCGAATTGCTGAGGCGCTTTTTGAGCGTTGAGTTTGGCTCCTCGTAGTTGTCACCGGGTAGCGTCTCGTACACCGAGTCATACCGTACACTTGACGCTGGCGAGTCTCTGTAATTTATGCTAGTTATTTTTTGGGAATTTAGAGGGTGGCTAGCAGAGACCTCTAGGGAAATTTTTCCGGCTGTCCCGCTGCCTTTAAACAACCAAAAATGGCACAATATCTCAAAGAATCGCTGCTAGCTCGCCCAACTCTTGATTTGCGATCATCCTGCAAGAATCGCTGCTTGAACTCCCCCAAAAGCTGTACCCCTGCGGCTTGAACGTGGACAGGGCGATGGATGAGGGGGCGGGGCCCGGCAGATATTCATACGTGGGCTCGACCCGTTGGCTCGTTATCGCCAACGATTGCGTCGACTTCTTCATGATGGACTGAAAAATTTTGGGTTTCTGTTGTCTTTAAAGGGACTGGGAAGTGCCCTAAAATCTACCCCTTTCATCGCCAGATCTCGACAGATGCACTAAGGCCTGCCAATTGCACCGGCAATTTTTTAAACGTCAAATTGATCTAAGCGTGAATTGGTGCTTTGCGTAGCGCAAATCCCAGGAGTCTGCATTGGCACTTTCTGGCCCCTTTAAAAGCGTTTCCAGGGCGTAAGTTCGCGCGTGGCTAGCCGTAATAGCTAATCATGGGCAAGGGTTGCTTTTCGCTCTTGTCGGCCCTTTTAAAAACTTCCCGAACGTAATTCGCTGCGCTGCGTACCTGTCTACACCCAGTCAGAAAGGGGGCATATTCAACGCCTCCCAGTCCCTTTAGAAGTGATTTTCACGCGTAATTTGGTGCATTGCGTAGCTCGTCTAGATCTAGTCAGCTGCAGGGGTCGATTTTCCCCTTTTTCTCCCCCTTAAAAGGTTTTCCCCCCCAAAATTTGGCTTTTTCTGTGAGATATAGTGGATTTTATGGGTAGATCCTTCCCTTCCCCTTAAACACCTTACCTTCGGCGTCATGGCCGTGGGGAATTGCGGAGATTGTCGTAAATCCCTTCGACTCTCCAGGGTATTGCTGGCCCCTAAAATGTCGTGTCAATGGGTGTAAAGCGTAATTTTTGGGCATTACCGATCACACCATTAAATCCCCGACCTGTCGTCTCGGTCCTTTCCGACAAAATATTGCTCGTCGACGTGAAGATGAGGTCTTGCGATCGCGCCGCCTCACGCTGCGCCTTGAAATTGTTTTAAAGGGATGGTGACACAGTGCATTTCAAATTGAAAAAAATTGTAATGACCAACCTTCTGCATCGCCTTCCGCTGCTTTTTCGTCAAGTTCGGCACCGACGCCGTGCGCTTGAAGTTTGTGGTCTAGAGAAATTGTGTATGTAGTTGCTATGGAGGCTTCCTGGTCCCTTTAAAAACCTCTCAAATGACCTCTGCTAGCCTGCCCGCCGGGTTTTTGCATGCAAACCCCTTGAAAGTCTCCGGTAATGCCCGAAAGTCCCGAAATGGAGTCCTAAGTGGTAGCTGCAAGCTCGCCTCGCTGGATTCCTAGCTTTGCCGCTCCTTTAAAGGGCCGTATTCATCCTGATTGAATTTTCTCTCCCCAAATGCTCTCTGCTAGCCTACCCACTCCACCTCGTGACTTCCCGGTCCCTTTAAGGCATCCATTAACGCGCACAGGGCCAAAATTCGGCCCAAATGATCTCTGCAAGCCTGTCCAGCATCGTTCTCTACCCTGCCTGGCCCTTTAAAATGTCTATTAGTGCGTCGACTACCTCGGATTTGTGGTTCTTCATATAATCGCGCTCCCAGTTCCGCAACGCCTCGGAATCGACCCTAAAATGATTTTAGAAAATTTTGTAGTAAATTTCGAGGTTTTTAGAACACGAAAAATCAAAATTTTCTATAGATAAAATTAAGAATATCTTTTGATGATTCTCTTTGTATTAAAATTCAATACCGATAAATCGCCGAAAACGATCGTTTAAAGGGTTGTGTCGTCGTGGAGAGATGGGTATTTGAGGCAAGCGGGGACTCCTCTTCTCCCTCAACCACCTGAACCGCTTGAACTACACGCCACTTCAATGAACGCACCTCAATCTTGACGAGCTTGGCCCGGCCCTTCCTGAAGGCCAACGACGTGGCGAAGCAGCCGAGGAACGACGCGATGAAGTGCAGCAGGGAGGCGATGAACTGGAAGTGGAACGCCCACCCGAATTCTTGCTGAAAAAAACAAAAAATATAATTAATGTGTGGATAGGCTTACCTCGTAGTCTTCCATATCCTCCTCCTTAAACACCTTGTTCTCCTGGTAGTTGGCCCAGATGTAGAACACCGTGGTGCCCACCGACGAGAAGAAGGCTGAAAGAATCTTTTTAGCTTAATATTGGGCAGCAACGCATTGATGGACCCTTTTAGCGGTGTAGTCTATTATAAAAATGATAGGGATAAGCTAGCAGAGATCATTTGCGCCCGATACGCATTAATGGACTATTTTTGGCGGTTAATAAACGCTTTTGCGGCGTTTTTTCAAGCAAGGCAAGCTAGCAGAAACAATTTGAGCGAAATTTTCGAGCCTCGTGTGCATTAATGCGTGTCTTAGATGACCAGGTAGGGGAAAACGAAGCCGGGTAGGCTAGCAATGACCATTTGCCAACAAAATACGCATTATTAAGCGAATCCAAAGGGCCGAAAAGCCAAAAATGATAAATTAACACCTGGAAAGCAGAACTTTTCCTTGTCGACCAGGGCAATCTAGCAGAGACCCCCTTGTCACCACCCACCAGCCATCGTGATCAGCACCGTCGAGGCGCAGATGAACGTGCGATGGCAGAACGAACAGATGCCGACCAGAAGAGAGGCAAATGAGAAGGCCCAGGCGACGCCGACTGCGCATAAAGTCGCTATCTTGTGGCCTGAAAACAGTATTGTCAAGGAAGAAGTTAAATTCCTAAAGGATTAAAAAGACGGCCAAGGCATGACTCTGAAAGTCTCAAAGAAATTTGCCGCGGGCTCGACACACGCATTTTGATGGCTCAATCGATCAGTCTCTCGTTTTTCCAAAACTTGCCCAAAAACAGGTGCTGCCAGGCGTCATTCTCGATGCGATTCTCGTCGTGGTTGTGGTCGTATAGATCCTCCTGGTCGATGTAGTAGTCAAACTTGTAGACGCAGCTCAGCTCCGGCAGGTTGAACAGCGCGAACGGCGTGTTCTCCAGCTCGCGCCTGAAGTTGGAATCGTTGAAGGGCTTAGGCTTTGGGCTTTGGTTTGAACTTAGGCTTGCGCTTGGCTTAGGATTAAGCCTGGGCTTGAGCTTAAGCTTGGGCTTGAACTCGAGCATGAGCTTAGGTTTAGGCATGGGCATAGACTTTGGCCTAGGCTTAGGCTTAAGTTTTGCTTAGGCTTGGTTAGGCTTAGGCTTGGGCTTAGGCCTAACCTTCCTAAGTAACCTACTTCCAGTTGCTCTGCACGTTCTCGCCCTTGTCGCCGTAGACGAAGGTATAGAACCGGACGCAGTCCAGCCACAGCCCGTGGTGATGCTCAGCGTGACCGTTCTAAATACACAACTTTAATACGTATTTATATACACATTTAATTCATTGAAAGGGCATGCTAGCACAGGAAATTTGCGGAATTCCGAACGAAAAATCACCTCCAAATACACGTATTGCCAGGTGGGGCTGAGGAGGGCGAGCAGGGCAAGGGTGAAGGCGGCGGCTTCGACGAGGAAAAAGACGCTGAGGGCTATCTAAAAACAACTTTTATAGTTAAAAAATCGTAGACTACAAACTACACCCAATTGCAACTACGTACTTTGATGGTATAATCGATTAACTCACCTTTCTGCTAAGCCTCGAGGTACCGTAGCCGGACATTACTTGCGAGAATTATTTTTGTAGCTCTAGAATTGCCGTCTTTTGTTTTGTCGCTTCGTCTCATAACCGGGGCTGCAACATGTGACGATTCGTCTGAAAAGGGGCAGGCTAGCAGAGGAAATTTGAGGAAAATGAGGGGCATATTAGCGGAGGAAATTTGCAGAAGATGGAGGGTAGGCTAGCAAAGAAAATTTGACGAAAGGGCAGTCGTAAGCGGAAAGTTGCGGAAAATTCCGGGAGGGAGGTCTGGGAAACTGGAGGCAAATAGACGGCTGGCTAGCTAAATGTGTGAAAATTCGAGGCAAACTAGCAGAGTTTTGCGGAAAATGGAGGGCTGGCTAGCAAAGGAAATTTGTGGAAAATCGAAACAAAATAGCAGTGGAACATTGTGGAATCCGATAAAAACGATTTTTTTTACTTTCACGGCAACCTCCACCTATCGAGGGATCGGCCGGATCGCGAAAACCGAAAATATCACTTTTTTCGCGCGCTGCGCACAGAACCCCATGGGAACCTGTGAAAAAATGGGCGACAAAAGGGTAGGCAACGCCCCTAAGAAAACGGGCCAAAAAGGAAGGTCAAATCGGCAGCCGGGAGGTTTTTTCTTGGATGGGAACCAGCTGGCGTTTTAAAGGGGATTTTGAACGCTTGGATCCAATCGGTTTAATCCCGATTGAGCGGCTTGCGTAGCGTAAAGGGGAAAAGTGACCTGGTACGGACAATTCGACGTTGCGTTGCGTTGCATGATGTAGCTCAAATAGTATGGACTGGCGCAGCGTCGCGTAGGCCATTAAAATTTTGGCAGTGAAAATTAAGCAAAGTAGCTGAGCCGCATTTCCGTATCTTCACGTAGCGTTGCCTAGAGAGTGTAGCGTCGCGACCGGAACGCAACGTAGCGTAGTGTATCGTACTATCGTGAACCCAACGAATTATAGTGTCGTATATAGGATCGCCGCGTACGTCGCATAGCGTAACGAAGCAAACCATATTCAGCCTTTAGCAATGTATCATGTACAATAGATGTCAAGCGCACTTCAAAGCACTAAATTTTCCAGTCTGTTCCGATTCCGCTAATACCTTGAGGACAGACAGCGTGTGGTGTGGGGAAAGTACCAATCATCACATGGGGGTCAGAATGGGAAGGGAAGGAGGGTGGGGAAGTGGTTTTGACCGACGAATTGGTGCTGGCTGGTGGAGGGACTGAAAGAGGGGCAAGTTAGGGAGATGTAATGCTTTAAACATCGCATTAATACACGTCAGACGCCATTTATTGGACTTGGCAGTCTAGCAGAGATCATTTAAGGCCAAATTTAGCAGGCTGAGCGCATTATTTGAAAGGACTGTGACAGCCAAGAAAGAACGTGTATTTCGATTCTTCGAATTGTAATTAACGGGTGTAGGAAGAAAAATTACAAAGAAAAATTCCCAAAGCCAGAGAGAGAGAGTGAGAGAGAGGGAGCGAGAGAGATCGAGAGAGCGAGAGAGAGTGAGAGAGATAGAGCGAGAGAGCGAGAGAGAGGGAGAGAGAGCGAGAGAGAGAGAGCGAGAGAGAGAGAGAGAGAGAGAGAGAGAGAGAGAGAGAGAGAAAGCAGACAACGTAAAGATATCTTAATCAATTACGCCATCGAATAGTCAGAATCGGAATGAAATCCAGTGACATCCCATGATGAAAGAAGCTCAAATTTAGACTGCTTTTAAAAATGCTTTTCAAAAATTGGCTCCGCGCCAAATCCATATAATCGAACAAGAGCGGAATGAGGATTTGGTGCGTGTGTGCAATATACAGCGCCCGGATAGAAGGCACAGCAGACAAATACAGGCCAGCCGACTATCGGGGCGAGTCGACGACGTTTCAAGGTCATTCTCCTTCCCCCTAGGCGCCCCGGCCGTCATTTGAATTCCCTCGGAATGGTGCTAGGGAGGGTCTGGAAATGGAAAGGGGCGGAGCTTCACCCTCCTCTAAAGGGATCGATCCAGGTGGGGGCGGTGAGTCAGAGCCGGGGTGCCTAATTTTCAGCCTCCACGCACCAATATTTGGGTCGCCGCTAACAATGGGTGGAAGGGAGAGGGTTCGAGGGGTATTTTGGGAGGGTTTAAAGGAATGTGGAAGGGAGAAGCGGGTCGCATGGGTCTTGGAAATAAAGGTCGATTTTTTGGCACGAGAAGGGAAAAATATTGACGTCCGCCTAGTGGGGAGAATGCAACTTGTTTTCGACATTTTGGAGAGTGAGAGTGAGATAGAGCTAGACGGCGAGAGAGAAAGAGCAGAGAGAGAGAGAGAGAGAGAGAGAGAGAGAGAGCGAGAGAGATGGAGCTAGAGAGTGGGTCCGCGAACTAGTGAGGGTGAGAGAAAAAGACAGAGAGAGGCCGAGAGAGCTCCAGGGAGAGAGGGAGAGAGAAAGAAGGAGCAGTAAATCGTACAAATCCCCCCTCCCTCCACATACAAGGCTGCGCGTGTTCGCGCGGAAACGGGCTTTCCGACGACAGATTTATAGCCCCGAGGCGTATTGTATGGAGCATTGTGGACAGAGCGATCGTCCGGAAACAAATAGCGGATACTAGAATTCCTAAAGAATCCATGCTAGTATGCCCTGGCCTGAGTTTTTCAAAGAAATTCTGCTAGATAGGCGGGAATTACACAAAAAACCCTTCCAGAAATTTTTACGAGGGAATGAGAGAATGAGAGAGAGCGAGAGAAAATTACAAAGAGAGAGAGAGAGAGAGAGGAGAGAGAGAGTGGACAGAGAGAGAGCTGGGAGAGATAGAGAGAGAGAGAGAGAGAGAGAGAGAGAGAGAGTGAGTGAGTGAGCTAGAGAGTATGAAAGGGAGAGGTACCGATGGATAGAGAGAGAGAGAGCAAGTGAAAGAGAGTTAGAGACAGAGATTCCGTATTAGTGCATTTTACCCTTTCCACTCCCTTTAAATGTCGGTCCCCCGCCTAATGGGCGTAGTGCAGATATCTAGGCTGGGGGGAGGTTGAGATGGATAGTTCTGATTTGAGGGTCGGGTGTGGGGGGATGGATGAATGACCGTAACGAGCGCCTTTCCCCCCAAGGCCGTATCCGCCATAAAAAAGCCGCCAACCGGCGGGGAAGAGGTCCCGTAGCGATTAGCGGAAAATGTTTACGGCCTTTGGAATGTCAAATAATGGTATGTCGTTTAAGTGGAGCGTACCAGCTAATATGAACTGTGTCAACGATATCTTTTAGATTTAAGACGTCATCATCCCTTAAGCTGAGAGATAGAGGGAGAGAGAGAGAGCGAGAGAGAGAGAGAGAGAGAGAGCAAGAGCGAGAGATCTTGCGAAGTTGGAGTGAAATGGAAATGGAGCATGAGAGAGGAGGCAGAGAGAGAATGAGAGGGCCAGTGATAGAGAAAGCCAGAGATCGAGAGAGAGAGAGAGAGAGAGAGAGAGAGAATTTGTAATTTTCGAGAAAATGTGCATTTGATCCCGGCTCAGCATTATCGGAATCGGGATATCCGTCCTTTTAGCACTACCATACCAACAGTGTCAATAGGAAAGCTTGTACTCGTTAGGGTATTCCGTTAGACTACGCTGTACACCACATTCCAGCACCCCCAAAAATGCCATAATTCTTTATCTGCAATTCACTCCAAAAACGTCGTCAAAATCACAACCAAACGTAGACAAAAAACTCGCAAAAAATTCCGAAAAATAATTCCGTGAAACACCACTGTACACACTTGGCAATGTTCGGGGCAAAATGGAGGGAGCAAGCGGCTGGCGGGAGAGATAAATTATGCAAATACCGGGGTACGGTAGCCGATTTTCTATCAAATTTTTGGGCTACCGTATCCCAGAAAACAAACGCACAAATGACAAATCCGTTCCTGAGGGTTACGGTAGATGGGGGAGGGCACGGTATAAAATGGAGGGCAGCGAGGTCAGGCTGAGCGATCAGGAAACACACAAAAAGAAAGCAAAATGCAAGAAAGTCAAAATTGGGCAGTGTGGGGGCAAAAAGCAAAAGATTGGCCGTGTGCGGGGGGTCGAACCCGGGCCTAGCGGCTGGCGGGCTGGCCCACTACCAATCGGCCAACGGTCGAAAATAATTTTTTTGTTAAAATCGTCTGGAATGTCAGTTTAAATCGATTTAAAGGGAAGTGAAAGTGAGTTGTGGAGGGGTGAAATCTGGGTCTAGACGCAGGTTTCGCTCTTTCTCCGGATTCGCGTCGGGATCAGCTCGCCGGGGTAGGCGGCGGCTCGTTGCATCCCCAGCTCGGGCATGCTTTCGGCAACCTGGAAAATTCGTAAATATGCATGATTTTTTTAGCTTTGTTGTCTTCCCGGTCCCTTTAAAGGTCCATTGAAGACAAAATCCATAGTTTTTTGCTTTGCCAATCCCTTTAAAACTCCGTTAAAGCGAAAATCCATTGATTTCTTGTCTTTCCGTCCCCTTAAAATCAGGATGCCAAAATCCATAACGATTTAGCCGATTCTATCCTTTTAAAGGGCCATTGAAGACAAATCCATAAATACCAACATGTCTCTCATACTCCTCGTGTTTGCTCATGAATGGACGAACATTGCTCTGCGGGGTGGCTGGGGGGTACATCATCGGGTCGAACTCCATAGAACTGGGATGAGGTAAATATGTTAAAGGGACGGTGACACGTACCGGCCGATGTTGGTGACGTTGGTACGGCTGCTGCGCTGAAGGGAGAAGTCCTCACCGTCGACGTCTTTTTGGGACATGGCCATGTAGGTGAAGAACATGGCAACCTGAAAAGGAGAGAGATAGATCAGAGAGCGAGAGAGAGAGAGAGCGAGAGAGAAAGAGAGAGGGAGAGAAAGAGAGAGAGTGAGAGAACCACTTCTTTAACCCACCAAAAATGAGAAGAAGTGGAAGAAGCAAGCCGCCAACTGCAGGAAGAAGGCAAGTCCGACGCGTTGCTGAAAGGTAAGGGTAGGCTTAGGGTTCTGCTTGGACTTAGGCTCAGTCTTGGCTTAGGCTTGGGCTTAGCAACAATTTTTTTAG